CAAAGAAATGTAAATAGGAAACAGTTGAAGTATGAAGAGAATGTATGAGGGCTGGGAATATAGCCCAGTGGGAGAGTACTTGCCTAGCATGCACAAAGTCCTGGGTTTGATGCCCAGCATTGTCAAAAACAAAATAAAACTTGAAGCCAGGCATGGTGGTGTACACTGGTAATTCTAGCATTTGGGAGGATCCCAGTTCAAGGCCAGCCTGGGCTACATAGCAAGACACTGTGTCAAAATACCAAACCAACAAATAAATAACTTAAAGATGGTACAATATATAAACGGTCTGGTGGATAAGGTTAAACAGTCTTACATATGTAATTGGAGTCCCAGATCACAGAGATAATAACACATAAGAAATGCTCCGTTTGAAAAAAGAAATACTGTATTTGAAGAGATAATGACTGAGAATGTCCCCAAAGTGATGAAAGACATCAGCCCCCAAATTAGAGAAGCTCAGACTTTTTTATTTACATAAAGAAAACCACAATAGGGCCCAAAACAAGTCAGATGGCTGAAAATCTTCAACAAAGAGAAGTTATTAGAAAGAAGCTAGAGCTTTCTCTTTGTTCAGCTCCCTTCTATGGACAATGTGCTCTACTTCCTTTGGCCTTCCCAGACGCCCAGCTTCTTCTCTCCACTCAAAGACACCACTGGCTCCTCTATCAGTGACAAAAATATCCAGTTATAAAGTTGTTATTATTATTATTATTATTTTGGCAGCACTGAGGGTTGAACTCAGGGCCTCACTCTTGCAAGGCAAGCACTCTTACTGCTTGATCCACTCCAGCAAGTCCTTTTTGGTGCTGGGTTTTTTGAGATAGGGTCTCAGGAACTATTTGTACAGTTTGGCTTCAAACTGCAATCCTCATATCAGCCTCCTGAGTAGCAAGGATTACAGACGTGAACCACAGGCCCCCGATTCAGGTAAAAAAATTTTAAGAAAAATAAAAAACATTAAGAGCAAGTAAAGTCTAAAGAGTTTAATGTGTTGAAAACACTCGATGTCCACAAAAACACTTCAGTAGACTGATACCTGTTATAGTGATGGCAACTCATGGAAATAGCACTTATGCCTCCCCAAAATCTTAGGTCTCCAAACCAGTTAGTATAGTCTCCTTTTTCTTGTCAGCCTGTAGTTGGTAATAAGATTTTTCAGTCTTTAATTAGTCTGTCTGTTTCTCTTTTTGCTGTAAGGATTATTCTTTTTCTCTTTTTTGGTGGGACTGGGGTTTGAACTCAGGGTTTCCCACTTGCAACACAGGTACTCTACTGCTTGAGCACACCTCCAACTCATTTTGTTCCAGTTAGTTTGGAGATGGGGTCTCAAGAACTATTTGTCTGACTGGCTTCAAACAGCCATCTAGCTAGGATTACAGGCATGAGTCATTGGTGCCTGGCTGGCTGTAAGCACCGTTCTTGAAATGTGAATCCAGGAAACATGTCCTTGGATGCAATAGTACCTAACTTTAAAAAAAAAAAAAAGTCACAGGCTAAGGAATTTTACTTACCATTTTGAATAAGAACTCCTTATGCTACACTGTCTTTCAGCTACATATAGGCATTTATCTAAATCTGGAATTCCTAGGATCAGGGCAGATACCAGCCTTGCATTGCCTCATATAGGGGCTTATATATTAACCCATAGACAGATCCAGACCCTACAGAAACCAGCTATTCCCAGAAAAATTCTGAGTTGTTTCTTCATTTGAGGTGGTTCTCATTTGAAGAGGGCCCCTTGGCCTGGTGGAGTGGCTTAAGTGGTACCTGCTTAGCAAATGTGAAGTCCTGAGTTCAAATCTCAGTTCTGCCAAAAAAAAAAAAAAAAGAGGAACTGTTTTCTCTCAGGGTTTGGTCCCCTGGAGTCAGAATGTGGCCTAGATAATATTTGACTTTTTGGTGGGAGATCTGTGCCTTTTGTGGAGAGACTCAGAATCCTGCAGACCCCTAGAAATTAAGGATTTTAATAGCATTATCATCAGGGTGTATTTTTGTGGATTACAGATAAGGAGATTATCTGCACACTTAAGTAAGGCTTCACCGTTTTAAATTAAGGACCTTAATTCCTTTGCTAAAATGTTTCTAATTGTTATCCTTTTTACTCTGGCAATAAATTTAAAATGTGTGTATAACACAGGGGAGCAAAAAGTTTCACTTGTTCCCTTGGCTTTCTCCAACATCAGATAAACTGTTGTTATTCCTGTAAGAACAGTGCTAAGATTACAGTTAATGACTGAGGCATCATGATGAGGCAGATTCAATTGCTAAGAGTAGCGGGAGAGCAAGAGCAAGAAGGCTACCTCCGAGGAGAGGAGATATGGGGGTTAGATAATCCTGGAGCGACCATCTAATCACCAGTCTAAATAAAGACCAGCCAAAGTAGCATAACTTCATGAATAGGGACTGTTAAACAAAGTGTTTGTAGGCTGAGAGTAGTGGTGCATAATTATAATCCCAGCTACTTGAGAGGCATAAGTAGGAGGACTGTGGTCCAAAGCCAGCTCTGGGCAAAAATGCAAGACCCTGTCTAAAAAATAACTAAGCTAAAAAAGGGCTGGTGACATGGCTCAAGGCCCTGAATTCAATTTCTAGTACTGCAAAAAAATTATATATATGAATCAATAGAGATAGTCATGCTTATCTCTATATAAATAGAAGGCTTTTGCCAAAGGTATGAGTTAGCCTCTGTCAGTGGTGCCTGGATGGACCTTAGTATCAGTAGTCACGTGTAAGAACCCTTTCTCCATAACCCCCCCCTTTTTTTTCTGTTAGTTTTTTCTTGAGATAGGGTGCAGGCTGGCCTGGAACTTGCTATGTAGCCAGGCTGGCCTCAAACTCACAATCTTCCTGTTTCAGTGCTTGGGATGTAGCTTAGTGGTAGGATTCTTGGCTAGCATGCAAAAGATCCTGAGTTCCATCCTACCTGCCCTCCTCAAAAGCCCCCAAAATCCTCAATAGTTTAACTATATCAGTAATTTCAAACTAAGACTAAGGAAAGGTTTGGTTTGGAAAGAGAACTATTATCACATTGTTTACAATTTGCTGGCATGTGGTGATAACTAAAGCAAACGCCTGGTATTTGGTTTTTTTCCTTCCTTCCTTCCTCCCTCCCTCCCTTCCTCCCACCCTGCCTTCCTTTCTTCATTTAGTGCTGGGGAGGGTCTTGTGCACACCAAGCTTGGGCTCTCCTGTTAGCATGGGCAGCTAGGTAGACATGAGCAGGAACAAGGAAATGCCCTGGGCTACAAGATTCCATTCCCCTTGGAGGAGGTGAAATCATAAAACCCCAGATGGCCCACACCTGGGCCAATGATTAGCATAATGGCTCTATATCCTCCTTATGGAGCACAGGCCTCATAGCAAGGTCCTGTAGTTGCCTGAGGCTATGTGACCTTCCACTGGCAACTTAAAGTGGAAAGAGGAAAGAAGATGAAATGTGCAGGTATCTGTCCTTTTGAAATGCAGGTGTATGGCCTTCCCACTTTAGGCAACCCCTCCACCATTGTCAGACCATCTAGGAAGGGCACCACAAGGGAGGACCTCAGTCTCTTGCCACCTACTGACACCACCCTATTTGAGAATAATACCCCAAGTTCTGACAGCTTCAATAGCAGTCAGCCCTTAACAAACTGCCTACCCTGGTGTGTTTTTGCTTTGCTAATAAATCATTCCTTGTTATCTTCCTACCCTTTGTGGTTCTTTTGCTGGAGCCAGAGCAGCATCCTAATCTTAGACACTGTGCCCAAAGAACCGAGGAACATCTGGAACACTCCATACCACTGAGCCTCTTTGTTGTTGTTGTTTTTTTTCTTTCTACAATAAACAGACACCATTATTGCCTATACCTGGAGCACAAGGCGTCCGAGAACTACATCCTTACCATTCCATTGGATTCAATCATCTCCACTATTGTTCCAAACCAACTATTTCCAAAAACAAATGCATCTCCCACCATGAAATCTACCACGTTTTCTATCCAATATCAGAGAAATCATCCAATGTTAGGATATTGGATGCTTATTTGTCTCTTTCCTCACATTTAAGCCGAGGTCTTACAAAGAAAAAGATTATGCTAACATTAGAAAAATATTAAGCCAGGAGCGGTGGGACACATCTATAATCCCAGCTACTTGGGAGGTGGAGATCAGGAGGACAGAAGAGGCCCAGGGCCAGCCTGGGCAAAAGTTAGGGAGACCCCTATCTCAACCAATAAGCCAGGTGTGGTGGGGCATCTGTGATATCAGCTACTCAGGAGGCCATAGGTAGGTTGCCTGGACAAAAATGCGAGACCCTACCTGACAAATAAGTAGAGGACTGGCTGTGTGGCGCAAGTGGTAGCGCCCCTGCCTATTAAGTACGAGGCCCTGAGTACAAACTCCAGTACCGCAAAAAAAAAAAAAAAAAAAAGTTTATTGAATGAATACTGCTTCAACATACAAGGCAGTCATCCTTTCCTCTCTGTTGGAAACAGAACAGCAGGTTTCCTTCTCAGACTTCCTTCGCACTTGCAGGCCACGCAGGCTTTGGAGCAAGGGCCCTGCCCTTCTTGAGAAGTGCAAATTACAATGCCAAGGGGTAAGATCAACGTGGGGACACAGGTCTGAGCCAGGCCTCAAAAATGGCAGACTCTTATAAGAGGAACGTGTTTTTTTGCTGTTGGCTAACGGGCAGCGGCAGGTGGAAGGTGGGGCTGTATTCTGGCTGTGGTGTGATTTGGCGCTTTAGGGGTAAGAATTGAGAAGAGGCTGCACAAAAAACCCAAAGACACCTTGCACAGCTTCTACAACTTCCCCCATTGCAGGACCTACCATTCCTCGTGCCTTCGGAGAGGAGCGGGAGGGATGCGGACCCCAAAAGAGTGGAGACAGGCGGACAGCAAATACACAGGCGCGGAGCCCCACCCCCCGCCGCACGCCCCGCCCCCTCGCACGAGGCGTGGGCGGGGCTCCATGCGGAAGGGCATGGGAGGAGGTGACGTGGTAAGAGGGCGCCGGCGTCGCGCCGCTGTTCGGGAGGAAGCTCGGCAGCCGTGGCGGCCGCGACCAGGCCAGACATCTCCTGGCTGGCGGGGCTTCTTCCAGGGCCAGCGAAGGCGCGGCTGCAGTCCCGGCTGCCGCAGCGTTTGGGCCGGCGGCGGAGCAGGTGCAGGGAGCCAGGGACGTAGGTAAGCGGGAGCAGGGGGGCCACTCGGCCGAATGACTGACCAGCCATTCCCCGCGCCGCTGCGCGCCAGCTCAGCGCCCTGGCCCGGAGGCCTCTAGATTTGCCCTCCCCCATGCTTCGAGCCCTAGGCAGCAGTTTCTCCCTGAGCTCGGTGTGTCTTCTGGTGACCGGGAAGAAGCTTGTCCCGAGGGACCGCTGCCCTCTCTTGTTTTTCTCCAGCCCAAGCCGTTCAACGCAGGCAGCGAGAAGACTAGCGCCCCTGGCCGCTGCCCCTGAAGCCAGGGAAGACTTGAGAGCAAGAGCGCTGTTAGCAGTCCACTGCTCTGCCGTCTCGGAAGTCAAGAGTTTTGATTTGTTCGGACAGCCTTGCCTTCTTCCTGCCTTGGTTCCTTCCCCCACGCTCATGGGACCCTTTTATAGAATGGTATGGTATAATTAGAGTGGTGGTGGTGGGGAAACCGTTTTTGTGTTCCATCGTAGGCAGTATCAGCCCCGGCTCCACTCTGTGGCTACTCTGTTGGGGGAGGATGGGATGTGGGAGCTTTGGACTTAGCCAAAACTGGAGCCAGGAAAGCTGAGTTGGAATCCTAGTCTGCCATTTGGTAGTGTTTTTAATTCACCCCGTGTACAATGGGGCTTTCTTATTGGAAAGTTAATTGGAAAAATTAAATGAAATGTTTTGAAAATCTAGTTAAACTTCGTTTAAGAATATCCAGGACATTTAATGGTGAGTTCTTAGCGATGTTTTTTGCCTTTGGTCCAGAATAATTAAGCTTGGCATGGAGAAAGGCTGCAGAAGAATAGCTTCAGTCTGTGCCTTGGATGGGCAGCATCAGGAATAAACCTCTCCTATTCACTCAGATGTTGCATGCTTATTGATAAAACATAATTAGTATATGAAGGATGACTTAAATCAGTTCTGCTCTTTGCTCTAGGTAGCTTTTGCCCAGTCACCTGGTCTTAGGAGAAAAGCTGGGAGGGGCTTCTTTACACCTGTGGCCTGCTTTTAGAAGGAATCCTCAGCACCTATGTCTGTGAACCCTCTCTGCCTCTAAAGCATTTCATATTCACTGAAAATGTGCAAGAGCAGATGCAGGAACTGGACTCATTGGAGTGACTGGATATTACAGTTCTAAGTTAACTTGAATTGCTTTTGTCCATGTTAGACAATATTCACTCAGTAGTGTAATTGGACCCCTCTTAGAGAAGTGTTTGGGAGAAGGGAGGGAGATTCAGTGTCCTGAGTGAGTAGACCTGATCTTACAGGTACAATTAAGCATACTTTTCTTGGGGCACGGTGATGGCTGAGGTGCAGAATGTAGTTAAGTGCAATCTTCAGTGCTGTACACATGGAAATATCTACTTGAAATTTAAAGTCGTAGATTAAGAAGGAACCTTGAGGGTTCGCTAATCCAGTATTTTCAAAGCCTGGCTGGGCAGTAGTATCACTTAGAAAATTAAAACAAGTGAGGTGATACATATCTGTAGTCCCAGCTACTGGGCAGGCTGAGATGGAAATCACTGAGTCCAACGTGGCAACTTAGCAAGACTTGGTCCCCAGAGGCCTGGAACCCACCTCAGTAGGTTTAAACTGGAACCTGGATATTTGTGTTTTTTGAAAAGGTCAATGGCCTTGGGACGGGGGTCGGGGAAGGGTGGGGGTGAAGCTCTGTGGTAAAGCACTTGCCTAGTATGTTTGAGGCCCTGGCTCTATCCACAACATTAAAAAAAACAATTGAGTTCAAATGCCAGTAGTGCCAAACAAAAAAGCTTCACAGGTGCTTTTCCTAATTTGAATACACAGATGTAAATGAGGTTTCTAGTTTATAAACAGGCTTAGCAAGTTGTCCAACTAGTTTGGTGCCTTAATTTTTTTCTTTCCTTTTGGTAAGAAGTAACCTACTTAAATCAGTAGTTCTTTTTCAGATTTTATAGTGCCTTCGGCCCAGAAGAGGGAAAAAGAGCTTTCTTAGGTAGTATCTATGTGTGATTCTGTTTACGTAGTTTCATAAGCATTTAGACTCAACACTTTTTGATGAAAGGAGCACATGTTACATTAAAGTTTCTTACTTCAGTGTAGGCTTGTTGGTTGTCAGAATTACAGCACTCCATAAATAAGTTTTTTGGTAGGCTTTTATGATAAAACTTTAAAAACCATGGCAAATTCTGACTTAAGAATATTTTGGGTGGGCACAGTGGCTCATGCCTGTAATCCTAGCTACTTGGGAGGCGGAAATTGGGAGTATTGAGGCTTAAGGCTAGCCAGGGCAAAAATGTTAGTGAGGCCCTATCTCATCCAATAGAAGTGGGCATGGTGGTGTGTGCCTGTCATTCCATCTATGTGGGAAGTGTGAATAGGAGGATCTTGATCCTTGCTGGCCCAGGCATAAATGTATGACCCTATTTGAAAAATCCTAAAGCAAAAAAGGTTGAGGGCATGGCTCTAGTGGTAGAGAACATGCCCAGCAAGCACAAAGCCCTGACTCAGTTCAAACCCCAGTACCGACCCCCACCACACCAAAAAAAAAAAACCGTATTTTTAATGCTGCGTGTGATGGTGCAGGAGCTTTTAATCCCAGAATTGCACTTGAGAAGCAGAGGCAGGAGCATCAAGTGTTCAAGTCCAAGACAGGTGGAGTGACTCAAGTGGTAGAGTGTCTGCCTGGCAAGCATGAGGCCGAGTTCAAACCAGTATCAAAATAAAAAACCAATATTTTGCTAATCTGGCCTGTATTAAACCCAGTGCTCTACTCCCAGGCTTTATTTCCCTCCCTTCCTCTTCCTGGTATGCATGATGCCTTTGTAGTATTAGCCAGCATCTTATAGAGCCTGGGGATCTATGAAATTGAAATTGGGGATCTATGCTTTTGTAATGGCCTCATGAGCATCTGATTTGATTAGATTTGATTTATCTAATGAAGTTTTTGTTTTTGATTTGTTTTAAACTTCAAAATGGCAGTGAGAACAGTGAGGATAACAAAAAAAAATTGGAAGCTAAAAAGTAGAAAAGACTAGTGGTAACTAGTCAGCTGACCTGAGAATTTGAATCCTAAAGCAGCAGTGGAGAGAAGCAACAAGTGGTCATGTTTGTGGGTTTTTTTTTTTTTTTCCTTCAGTGGTGAGGATCTAACCCAGGACTTCATGCATACTAGGCAAGCACTCTACCGCTAAACTACGCCCCTGGCCTTCATATACTATGTAAGTGGTGGTAAAAGGGGGATCAAAAAAAAAAAATAAAGTTTGAAAGTCTGCTTAAGAAAAATTTTTTTCACATTTTCTCTCTTTTCTGTCCCCATACACATAAACAGGTAACCAAAGATTAATTACATGGAGGGGAGAGGGATCATTATTTGGAGTGGTAGATAGCATGCATAATTGAGGATGAGGTGCAGGGCTTTATAAAAGGACAAAGTGGAAAATTATATTTATAGATATATGTATACACATACGTGTATAAGTTATATAACGTGATACAAATATACTATAGAAATTGCAGCATTCTTTCCTGACTTCGTTACCAGAATCTTGCCTGTTTCTCCATTGCCCATTTACCAAAGGTAGCCTCTTTCAAGTCTAAACTGTTCTTTCTATATAAACATGTCTTTGTAACCTTTTTTTTTTGTTGTTGTTTAGTACTGGGATTGAACTCAGGGCATCATGTATGATATGCCACATGAGCCCTCTATCATTTGAGGCACGCCTCCAGTTTAAGTTACCTTTTTGTTACTTGTGTTATCTTCCCCTACCAGTATAGTGGTATCATTTTTGGCTAGAATCAGTTCTCCTGAATGAAGGCAGTCACTATCCTGTCTATGTGATATTTAGCATTCCTGAACCCCAGCAATACAAACCTGAATTCATTATAGCCAAGAGTTTCCCCATACATTTCCAAATATTGGAGTATGGTATGGAATATCTGGTTAAGACCCATTGGATCAACTGGAGGTGTGGCTCAAGTGGTAGAGCAACTGCTTTGCAAGTGCGAAGCCCTGAGTTCAAACTCCAGTCCCACCAAAAAAAAAAAAAAAAAAGATTAAGAGCCATTGGATTACCCTGTACTTGGGAGGCTGAGGCAGGATCAGAGTTTGAGGCCAGCCTGGGCTATATAGAGAACTTACTTAAAAAAAAAAAGCCTTAACAAAAACCCATTTAATTAGGTCAGTGTTTACGTTATTACTATTATATAAATGGTAGTTTACAAAATTATCTTTAAACACTCTTCCAGAAATTCTATCAGTTTTTTATTCTTAGAGGTCCCTTTTTCTCTTTTCTGGATTGATGGCTATTTTTAGTCATTCTGTTTTTTTTCCTGTTATCTTTAGTATTCCTATTGCTTATCTTTGTTTTGAATCTCATTCCTGGATTGGATCCCATCATGCATTTTGTCGGTATTTCTTGTGTCTCTTTGAGAAGGGTGTATGGGAGGTATGTATTTTAATAACTTACCTTTCTGAAAAACCTTTTTCTGACTTATGTCTTGACTTAAAATTTGACTGGATTGAAAATTCTATGTTGAAAATAATTTTCCTCAGAATTTTGAAGGCATTGCTCTGTTTTCTTTTCATTGCCAATCTTGGTTTTTTATTTATTTTTTTGAAACAGGGTCTCATTATTTAGCCCAAGCTGACCTCAGACTCTGGATCCTCTTCCCTTCACCTCCTGAATGCTGGGGTTACAAGCATGTACCACCATGGTAGAAGTCAGTTACTTCTTAAGAAGGGTTGCAGAATTTAACTTTTGTATTTCTAATTTCCATCATTCCTTCCATATTTATTAATTTGAAGTTCTGTGTAAAGAAGAGCCATCCCTTTTATTTAGTCAGTTTTTTTTTTTGGCAGTACTGGGGCTTGAACTCAGGGTCTTTGTTTGCTAGGCAGGCGCTTTACCACTTGAGCCACTCTGCCAGCCCATTTTTATTATTTTACTTACTTTTCTTTTTTTTTTTTTTTTTGGCAGTGCTGAGATTTGAACTCAGGGTCTCACACTTTCTAGGCAAGTGCTCTACCACTTGAGCCATACGTCCAGCTCAAGTTTTTTAAATCACTATAAGCTCAAGGATATTTATTTTATTCCTGGGTCATAACCTATTGCTTTTATTATGCATTTGATTGCTCACAAGTTTTGGCCATTATGATTCTCTTCAAGTTGGCATCTGGGTCCTTTTGACTTACTATTTTTGGAGCACTTGTGGACTCTCTGACACCACAGTGATACTCCAGACTCGTCTTGTGTTTTCTCTGCTCCAGCTCTGGAACCATCCATTTTTGCCCCAGTGTTGGGGTTTGAACTTGGGGCCTTGTCCTTTCTAGGCAGGCATTCTACCCATTGAGCCACTCCCCAGCCATTTCTTTAGGTGGACAATTATATTTAGAAACCAAGCTCTGGTTGTTAGGGGTGCTCATTTTTTTCGTGAATATTGTAGTTTCTAGTCCAGCTGGGAAATAATGTATATGTATATGTATACTTACGTGTCTGTATCTGTGTATATATTAAACACTTGAGTTCATGCTGGTATCTCCAGTTTAAATCTAGCATCTTAATTCATTCCTGCATTATCTTTCATCATCATCTTTTCTCCATCGATGAAAAACCTAGCTCTAATTATCCACAACATATTTAACTTAATTTTAGAATGCTGATCGTTTTGAATTAACTCAGACTTCAGTGGAAAAGCAAATTTCCAACTGTACAGTATTTGTATATAGTTTTTTTTGTCTTTAACTCTAGAGCCTATAGTCACAATATTGTTTCCCAGAGTTAACTTGGTTAATTCTTCTCTGCTCCTTTCAGTGTGAAATATGGTTAGGGGAGGGCTGGAGATGTGGCTCAAGTGGTAGTGTGCCTGCCTAGCAAGCCCTAGACCCTGAGTTCAAACCCTAGTATGTTAAAAAAAAAGAAAAAAAGAAAGAAAGAAAAAGAAAAGAAAAAAAGAAATAGAGGCCAGAGATGTAGCTCAGCTGCAGACCTTTTAACTAGCATGTTGGGGAAGCTTTTCTTAAGTTGTTGGCAAGCTTAAATTAGGAAATGATTTCTGATTGATGGTTCAGTGTTTCTTCCACTTCACCTGTGGTGGCTGATGCCTAAAGAACTTTCAGAATGTGAGATTTTATTAAATTCTGAAGGGAAGCCATGGTTTAGTTGCTATTCATTCTCATCTTCTGTCTCTACCATTGTGTTCCTGAAGTTCATTGTGTTGATTCTTGGTCCTATTTCACTTGACAGCCAGAATAGCTGGATGAGAGCCCCTGATGGAGTACTCTTCTTACATAGTCATTCAGAGACTCCAACTTGGAAAAGAGAAGTCTGATCTTCTGATATCATGTGTTGGTTGAATATTTACCTGTGAATGACTGTATAGACCATACTGCTCTTTAAAAAGTTTGTTATGTGAAGGAAATTATTTTGTGTGAAAGTTATAAGTAAATGGATATGGAATCAGTCTTAAGTGGTATTTGGTTCCCTCTCCCTTCCTTATCCTTCATTTTATAAATGAGAAAACAGAACTTCGATGACTTGCTTAAAGTTACCTAGGTGATGAGAAGTGCCAACACTTAGAAATTCTCTTCTGACTCTCTGCCCTGGGCACTTCATCAGAAACTGACTGCATACTAAGAAATGATTCTTCAAACTTATTTCTATCCAAGGTAGGTGTACAGCAAATGAGGACTTGTTCAAGTACTCAGATCTTCTCTCCTCCCCAATTTTCATTGCAATGGAAACCTTGATTGGGTAGGAGTTCATTACGTCTGACAGCCTAAAATCAAGTGCTTGTGCTCTTTTTCAGTTTTCTGCCTTAATTGCTGTGAATGTCTTCTTGGTAGTATTTTTAGATTGATATGTAACTTTTCTTTACATTTTCTTCTTTATAGCCGCATCCAGTTCTCATTATGCATCAGAAAAATGAAAAAACAGAGGAAAATTCTATGGAGGAAAGGAATCCACTTAGCCTTTTCTGAGAAATGGAATACTGGTTTTGGAGGCTTTAAGAAATTCTATTTTCACCAATATTTGTGCATTTTGAAAGCTAAATTGGCAAGACCAGTTACTTGGAATAGACAGTTGAGGCATTTCCAGTGTAGTAAGGAGGCTCTTCAAATCCAGAAAACGTGGATCCAGGATGATCCTCTTTGTACTAACACCAACTCCAGAGTGGCTACTCACAACATTAGTACTTTGTCCTGTAAAGTGAAAAGAAAGGACACTAAGCACTTCATTTCTCCCTCCAGGAGTCTCCTGAAATTCCAAGCAGATAAATTGCTGTCATTAGCAAAGAACTCGGATCATGAATACTGTGGAGAGAAAAGTCTCTTGAAGGCAGTTGCTGGCTTATCAGCAAATAGTGTTTTAGGTCAGGCCAATGGTCACAGACCTAGGACAGAGCCACAAGCTTCTGACTTTCCCATGAAGTTCAATGGGGAGAGCCAAAGTCCAGGCGAGAGCGGCAAGATTGTGGTCACCTTGAGCAACCATAAGAGAAAGCGCTTTTGTTATGGCTGCTGCCAAGGGCCGGAGCACCACAGGAATGGGGAACCCCTGATTCCAAAAAAGTTCCAACTTAACCAACATCGAAAAATAAAAGCGTCTCCTCTTATGATGTATGAGAAATTATCCATGATTAGATTTCGGTATAGGATTCTCAGATCCCAACACTTCAGAACAAAAAGCAAAGTTTGCAAGCTAAGAAAAGCCCAGCGAAGCTGGGTTCAGAAGGTCACTGGGGACCATCAAGAGACCCTTAGAGATAACACTGAAGGTGGCAGTTGCAGCCCATTCCCTTCCCCAGAACCTAAAGACTCCTCTTGTCTGCATCAGCCACACTTTCCAGATATGGATGGCAGTGTTGTGGTAAAGGGAAAGAACTCTCATATGCCTGATGGCCACACTAAAGGAAGCCCTTTCTTGGACAAGGAGCTTAGTTTAGGTGAAGCATTCCCTGACCAACAGAATGGCAATGCCACATACACCTGGGACCAATCACCCTGTTCCTCTCCTAAGTGGGAGTGTACAGAGGAGCTAATTCATGACATCCCCTTATCAGAACACCATTCTGATGACATGTTCGCCTCAGAAACTGAAAGAGAAATTGTGACTTTGGGTCAGGAAAGTCGGACAAGTACTGTCACTGATGACAGCCTAAAGCTGTCAGCACCTGAAGCAGATAAATCTGTGAGTAGTATAGATGGGCTTGTATCTGAAGAGACTGTTCAAAATGAGAACTCCTACCAGATGGAGGAGGATGGATCTCTGAAGCAGAACATTCTTAGTTCTAAGTTGCTGGACCACCCTTACTGTAAAAGTCCACTGGAAGCTCCCCTGGTGTGCAGTGAACTCAAACTAGAAAATCAAATGGGAGGTGGGAAGAACAGTCAAAAAGCATCTGCAGTGGATGATGAACAGCTCTCAGTCTGCCTTTCTGGTATGCGCTCTTTATTGTCCTTCAACCTCTGGCCCACACTTGCTGTCCATTATCCTTTCTAGAAGAGTTTTTTTTTTTTTCTCTCTTCCACATCTGACTTTCCCTTTAAGGCATTATTATTATTACTATTATTATTTTTTGGTGGGATTGGGTTTGAACTTGGCTTTGCGTTTGCAAAGCAGACACTCTAGATATTCTTGCTTTTTATATTGCTGCATTGTGTAGATATTCATAACTTCGTGTTGATGGACATTTGCATTGAATCTGATTCCAATATTTCTGCTATAAACTAATGGTGCAGTGAACTTCTTTGTTCTTATACAATTGTTTCTGTAAGTTAAGTTCTTAGTATTAGAATTGCTGGTGAAAGAACATTCACACTTGAAATTTTAAGAGAATGATTAAATTACCTTCCAAAAAAATTAACCAGCTTAAATTTATACTTTGACAGTCTTATAGATCTAATGAGTTTCATATCATTAGGTTTGACATCATTTTGTGTGCTTTTTAACCATTTTCTATTTGGGCATGGTTTCCCATAACCACTTTTTTTATTGGATTGTCTCTGTTTTATTTATTTAATATATGAGAAACTTAGGTGTTAGCCATTATGCTGGTTCCTAAGAATATATAGCAACAAATAAGATACACTGATTTCTGTTTTCATGGACTACGGTATCATTCTAGTAATAAAGATGTTAAATTAATTCTAAATCGTAAGGATTGCCACTCCCAAAAGGTAAAAGTCTTTAATCCATTGTTTGATATTTTTGTTTTAACACATTTTCACTTCTTATATGATGAAATTTATCTTTCTTTGACTAAATGGATTTTAGTTTTTGCATCATCTTTTAAAAAGCCTCTTGTCAAAATCTATACCAGGAAGTAAATTGGTATAAACATTTTTTGGAAGACAGTATGACCATTGATTCATTCCCCCCACTTAAAAGTTTGCCCTCGATATAAAAAAAAGTACAAATGTGTTTGTAAAGGGTATTACTTTTATTATTATAGTTAAAAACCTGAAAACAACCAAAACAAATGTTTCTATTGAAGCATAAATTATGGCATATTCAGGAAATGGTATACTTTGAAATACTTTACAATATACTCATTTGGGGCTGGGCATGTAGCTTGGTGATAGAGTACATGCTTAGCATGTGTGAGGCCCTGGGTTTGATCTCAAAAAATTTTTTTTGAGACAGGTCTCGCTATATAGCCCAGGCTGCTATATCCTTCTGACTCAGCTTCCCAAGCAGGGATTGTAGATGTGTGCCACCATGCCTGGCTTCAAGAAAGATTTTTGATTTATATTTTCATACTGAAAGATGCATATGTATACACACACATAATTAAAACAGCAAATTGTAAAATGGTATGACGCACAATTGTGTTAAAAGATAAAGTATAGAAATATGTGTATATACATACACATATACACGTTTGTATAGGCTACATCTGGACAGATAAAATTGTTATATTTCTGGTAGGTTAGGAGGGTTACTTCTTGGTGGTTTAAATAATTAAACCTTCATTTTCCAACAAGTATGTATTAAGTTCCCTACAAAAGACACAAAGTAGAATGCTAGCAATGTTTAAAAAAAAATTATTTGTATCTGGGCACTGGTGGCTCACGCTTGTAGTCTTAGCTACTCAGGAGGCAGAGATAGAAGGATTGCAGTTTGCACTGTATCTCAAATATACCCAACACAAAAAAGGACTGGTGGAGTGGCTCAAGTGGTAGAGTGTCTGCCTAGCAAGTTTGAGGACCCGAGTTCAAACCCCAGTATCACCAAAAAAATATAAATAAATTATAAAAGGAGAAAAAAAAAACCCGTATTTTAGGAAGTGCAGAAAAGCCTGTTAACTAAATTGAGCTCCTTCTTAGCTTAAATCTCTTATTAAATTAGGAATAAAGGACACACCCTTCACTTAGTAAATAATATTAATAGGGCTGAGGGTGTAGCTCAGGTAGATTGCTTGTCTGGTATATGTGAGGCCCTGGATATGATCCCCTGCTCTGAAGGAAAAGAATAAATAAAACAGTAATAGTTCAGTAATGCATGGAACCTGCTCTTCCTATCAAATTCATAGAATTTATGAAATATTAAAAGCAAATAAGAATCTTTATGCTAAAAAACAAGGAGTGTTTTGGTGGGTCAGAAATTCAGAAGCTCCCACAAGGCAGAAAGTAGAGGGAATGTTCATAGAATGAGAAGGAAGATTAGTGTGGGGAAGTGATTGAACGCTGAATGTGCTTATTTCCTGGAGTTGGTAGAAGTGGGGAAGAAAGGAGATGATCCCCCATAGTGAAAAATGGAATGTTTGGAGAGTCTCCCTGCTTGTGCCATATACATCAGCAAAGAGGATATCTGCTGTTGAATTTTTAAGAATAAGAGAACATTTGTCCCCACACCCTGTAACACCTGCAAGAATGAGCAGCATGCATTTTTCTAAGAACATTTGCTGGGATTCTTAGCATCCCCACTCCCATGAAAATAGTTCAGGCAGAGCAATAGCTATTGCCTATGACAGTGCCTTATCCTCAGCAAGTTCTGCCGTAGAAATGAGGTCATAATTTGTCACCATCTGAAAAAGCCAACAAGTTCTGTGTAAAGAGACCAGGTCTCTTTTTACAGAAAGCCCTAGGTCCAATCCCCAGCACTGCAAAACAACTAAAAACAGAACTAGATCTTAGTAATCAAGATGGAGGTTGAGGGTGTGGCTCAAGTGAGAGCACCTACCTCTTAAGCACAAGACAAGACCCTGAGTTCAGACCCTAGTAACATTTAAAAATATTTACACACACACACCCGTGTGGTGGCACATGCCTGTGATCCCAGCTACTCAAGAGGCTGAGGCAGGCGAATCTCAAGCTCGAGGCAGTCCAGGCAAAAGTAGCAGGGAGACCCTATCTCAAATATCAAGGACTCACATCTGTGATCTTAGCTACTTAAGAAGCAGAAATCAGGAGAATCAAGGTTCTAAGCCAGCCCGGGCAAATAGTTCTTGAGAACCTAATCTTGAAAATACCCAACTCAAAAAAAGGCTGTCAGAGTGGCTCAAGTGGTAGAGTACTGTCTGAGAACCTGAGTTCAAACCTTAGTTCTACCCCTCCTCCCCCCAGAAAATGAAGCAATCAGAATAGGAGTCAGTGTAGGACAATCAGTATTTGATGCTCCCTTAACTGACTTCTATAGTATTAGCCAATGTTGAGTTCCATGGTATGTTGAATGCTGCTTCATCTTTAAAGCAACTCTGCTGTGCTCCTTTCAGTTGATTTACATATTGTATCAGTTGTATTTAGGAAACTTACTGCAGTGTCCTAATTTTATCTAGTATTGCATAAACTGATGAAGTATGAGTGCAAAAAGAAAGTTACTTTCTTGAAAACCAAGTCGAATATTTTGTAATAACTGACATACATGACTTGCTGCAAAAAATACTGAGTTAGTGCAAGACAACTATAAAAGATTTGAGATAGTAGATGGAAATCTAGAATTCTGTACTAATCACTTTACAGCTGTCTAGATCTTCCTTCATGTTAAAGAAAAACTAACCTCCATCTCATGACTATGCCTGGAGATTATGGAAGGGCAAGTGAAAAAAATAGCAAAGGATATTTTCCAGAATCGAAAAGACTGGGTATGAGTCTTCAAATGTATGCAAGCAGGAGTCCTTAGGTTTAGTCCCCAGCACTGCAAAAACACAGTAAAAAAAAAAACCAAAAATATTAGAAAGGCTAAGCAAATGCCAACTAGGATTAAAATGCATACCACATAAACTCCCAACTCTTAAAAATTTTGTGTAACTGAAACAAATAAATGGGACAGTTAGCTACCTACCTGTTTTGGAAGGAAAAGAAATAGATTTCCTGTGCCACAATTCACTCAAGTGGTTTAAAGTTTAAACACAGAGCTGGGAAAGTTGTTCAGTGGTAGATCATTTGCCTAGCATGCCCAAGGTCTTGAGTTCAATCCCTAAAACCACCAAAAATTTTTTTTTGGAAAGTACATGCACAAAAGCTTTTTTATTTTTGCAGACGGGATTGAATGCAGGGCCTCCGGCATGCTACTGCATTACCACTAAGCAACATCTCCAGCCTTTCTTTAAGATGGACTCTCACTAAGTTACCCAGGCTGGCCATACTTATGCAGGATAAAATCTACTCTATCTAAATGGGAACCGGTAGGCTCATGCCTGTAATCCTAGCTACTTGGGAGGAAAGATCAGGAGGATCTTGATTCAAAGCTAGCCTTGCTCAAATGTTTGTGAGACCCTATCTCGAAAATACCCAACACAAAACAGGACTGGTGTGGCAAGTGTGAGGCCCCAAGTTCAAACCCTACTACTGCAAGGAAAACAAAACTGGTCTGTCTATACAATAGAATATTATTCTAGTATAAAAAGGAATGTGAATGATCTTGAAAACATGCTAAATGGAAATAATTTTTAAAAAAGATATTAGAGGAAAAAGTGAGACACAAGCCACATAACCTATGAAATGTCTGTAATAGCCAAATATAGTGGGTTAATGGTTACCAGGAGCTGAAAGAGTGGGAAGTGACTGCTAATAAGTAGTGGTGTTTCCTTTGGTAGTGACACAGATATTCGTGCATCAGGTAGCACAACTAATGCTGCAAGACTTTGAGTTGTACTTTTTTTTAAGGGGTGGTGGTGGTGGTACTGGGGATTGACTAGATCATTAAGCAAGCAAGGGCTCTACCTGCATCCCAGCTACCACCACCCCCTTCATTTGAAGTAGGATCTCCCTATGTAATCCAGGCTGTTCTCTAACCCACATTCTTCATGCCTCAGCCTCCTGAATACTGGATTATATGCATGGGCCATCACTCCTGGCTTGAACTTTACTCTTTTAAGAGGATCAATTTTGTGGTATTCGAGTCATCAGTAAAGTTGTGAAACAAAGCAGGACACCATTTTTTTAAAAGTTTAAATTGGCAATTGTATTTACAGAGTACAACGTGATGTTTAAATGC